CAAGGCAATATTCCCTGAATACATCAGCTGAAACGCGATCTTGCTCTACTTCAACAAGGTGATTCATCGTAACTGGTTATTTCACCAAATTGAAGACGTTGTGGGACGAACTTAATGTCCTCACAGTTCTTCCAGAATGTACATGTGGAACAGCAAAGTTCTATGCTGCTGAACGTGAAAAAGAAAAAATACACCAATTTCTGATGGGGCTGAATGACCAGTTTAATGGAAATCGCTCAAGTATTCTGGGAACAGAACCATTACCATCCCTTGACAAGGTGTACGCGTTCGTCACCCAAGAAGAACGACATCAGATCGTAATTTCCCCACAGCCACTGCAACCAGAAGCTGCCGCACTAGCTGCAACTGGTTCCAAGAATGGGAACAATCGATCTAAATTTTATTGTGACCATTGCAAGATCGTGTCACCAATATTCTCAACTCATGTCTCTCCTAAATCGTGAATCCTTTGAAGTTGCTGCCAACACCACTGCTGGCAAGTCTTTTGAAACCTCAATAGAATGGATCATGGATAGTGGCGCATCTGACCACATGCTTTCTTCACCATCTTATTTCCATGTTTCTGAACCTATCAATACTTCTGTGCGCCTCCCGAATGGCTCAGTCACTTATGCTACTTCTCGTGGTTCCATTTTTATGGGTTCTTATACCTTACATGATGTTTTATTCATTCCAACATTTCATTGCAACCTCTTATTCGTGAGCAAGACTACACAGCAACTAAATTGTGTGGCTGTCTTTTCTCCTTGCGCACTTCAAGATCCGCATTCAACGAYTGTGATTGGGACGGGTAGACTTTGGCACGGACTGTACCACTTCATTTTTTCTCCACCACCATTGACTGTTACCTCTTCCATTGCTCACATCAGTACTGAACTATGGCATCAGCGGTTAGGCCATACTTCACAATCTCGCATGGAACTCATACCTAGTATATCTACTTCTAGCTTAGACAAGTGTTGTGATACTTGCCATAAGGCCAAGCAAATTCGGATTCCATTCCCTATTAGTAATACACGTAGCCCTTCTCCATTTTTTGATTCACTGTGATATTTGGGGAGGCTACAAAACTCCTTCACATTCCGGTGCTCGGTATTTCCTCACTATTGTTGATGACCATATATGTTGTACCTAGACCTATCTGCTTAAAAATAAATCAGAGGCTAGTCTTCATCTTATGGAATTTTGCACCATGGTTACTCGACAATTTAATGCTCTTGTAAAATATGTTYGATCTGCAATGGTGTCGAGTTCACTTCTGGACCTGTGTAGAAATATTTCAGCAACCAAGGTATTCTTCACCAAAACTGGAGTGAATGTTTCAAGGGTCCTTACCCAATTCATTCTGGAGTGAATGTGTACTTACTGCCACATATCTTATCAATTTACTCTCTACCCCAATATTGTCCAACATTTCTCCTTATGAAGCCTTGTTTCACAAGAAATCCTCATATGATCACTTGCGGGTGTTCAGATGCCTTTTCTATGCTCAAGTAATTCCTAAACCTTTGGACAAATTTGCTACCAGAGCTGAACCTTGCATTTTTGTGGGCTATCCACATGGGCAAAAGGGTTATCGGGTCTATAGTCTTGAAACCCGACGGATCTTCACCAGTAGAGATGTTGTTTTTATGAAACAAAATTTCCATACAAGACTAGTCCACTTTCCTTCCAAGATTCTGGCCCAACTAATGTTATGTCATTACCACCAAACCCATATGATGATCTTGAATATTCGGGCCCAACCACAGATAATGGTTCACCTACTGAATCAGTCCTTAACCCATCACAGGACCATGGACCTATTGATGCTAATCCAACAACTGTTCCTACACCTCAGCCCAACACCCAAACTTGTGAGCCAGTCCAAGCTCCTATTCCAGCCCAAATACATACCCCTCGTCCTCGCCACCATCCCACAGCCCCAGCTTGGCTCAATGATTATGTATGTGACATCTCGCCCTCCATTGCCAACTTAAACCATGTTGCTTTGGATGTTGAACCAAAATCCTATGCTCAAGTAGCCCAAGATCCTCGTTGGCGCCAAGCTATGGCTGATGAAATAGCAGCTCTAGAATGTAACAATACATGGCAAATTGTATCTCTTCTTCCGGGAAAGTGTCTCATTGGCTCCAAATGGGTCTATAAAATAAAGTACAAAGCCGATGGCACTGTTGAGCGCTTCAAGGCTCGCCTTGTAGCAAAAGGATACACTCAGGTTGAAGGTCTTGACTATCATGACACTTTCGCTCTAGTAGCAAAATTGGCAACACTCCATTGTCTATTTGCTGTGGTAGCCATCAAGGGTTGGGAACTTCACCAACTTGACATTAACAATGCTTTTCTCCATTGGGATCTTCATGAAGAGGTCTATATGATTGTTCCTCATGGTTTTACTACCACTGATTCTACTCATGTCTACAAGCTACAAAAATCTTTATATGGTMTCAAGCAAACCTCTTGGATGTGGTTTGAAAAATTTACACACGCCTTAACTGCTCTCGGCTTCACATAGTGCACTATTGATTATTCTTTTTTCACTACCTTCTCAAAGGATTCCTTTATTTCCATCCTCGTCTATGTGGATGATGTCATCATCACAGGCAACGACCATGCCCGTATCATCTCTCTCAAAAGGCACATTGATAATAAATTTGGCATCAAAGATCTTGGTCCCTTACGGTTCTTCTTGGGGCTTGAAGTTTCACGATCCGAAGCCAGGATATTTCTCAACCAACATAAGTATGCTTTTGATATTGTTCAAGAAACTGGTCTTCAAGATTGCAAACCTTGTTTGACTCCAATGGAACAACAAAATCATCTTGTTGATGCAACTAGTCCACTTTATTCAGATCCTGCACAATATCGACAATTGGTTGGCAAATTGGTCTACCTCACTGTTACTCGACCAGAACTGAGTTTTGCTATCAATCGCTTGAGCCAATTCATGCATCAACCCCACCAAGAACACTTTAATGCAGCACTAAGAGTTGTTCGTTATATCAAGGGAACTCTCTCTGCTGGACTGTTCTTCTCAGCTTCAAGTTCTCTTCATCTCCAAGGGTTTTGTGACTCAGACTGGGCTAGTTGTCCCTCACTTGCCGCTTAACTACAAGCTACCTCACCTTACTTGGTAACTCCCTTCTCTCATGGAAAACTAAGAAATAACACACGGTTTCCCGCTCTTCTGTCAAAGCTGAATACCGTGCAATGGCTGCCGCTTCATCCGAAATCATCTGGTTACGACGGGTGCTTGCTGAGCTTATAGTTCTCTTATCTGACCCTCCAATTCTATATTGTGACAGCAAGGCCACTCTCCACATTACAGCCAATCCAGTCTTCCACGAACACACTAAACACATCAAGATCAACTATCATTTTGTTCATGATCTTATCCAACGTGGCGAGCTACTCACTTCGCATGTATCAAGCACCTCACAACCAGCTGATCTGTTTACCAAAGCTATCCCAGCTGATCGTTTTCAGGATCATTTGTCCAAGTTGGGCATCAAAGATGCTCCAACTTGAGGGGGGGGGGGGGGTTTCGAATATTACATGTGTTGGTTAGGACAGTTATATCTTGCCAGCTGTACATCCTCAGTCATAACCGATTGAACACCTGAAATATATACACACCTCAGTCATAATCCTTCCATTTAAATATATACACAGAGAGAGAGTGAATCTTCTTCTCAGTTGATGTCTGTCTTCAAAATCGTCAACAAGCTGTCCGATGTAGCCCTGTTTCTCCACACCTCCGGCACCATGAGCCGACCAAAAGGAGTGCCGCTTACGCAGCTCAACCTTGCAGCCTCAGTACAGAACATCAAATCGGTGTATAAAATAACTGAGTCCTTTCTCTACGGAGAGAAAGGATGGGTTTTTACTTGGGAGAATGAGCGAACTGGCGAAGGGGTGGGGAATAAATAGAGGGAGAAGAGGAGGAACAGGGAGATCGTCGGTGGGATGTGGGATGTTTCTAGGTTAGGGCTCGACGGAGGAGAGGAGGAAGAGGGAAATTGAATGGATTTAATGTATTTTTGTCGTTTTGCATCCAGTTCAACCGGATTCCAATTACTAACGGTAGAAAGCCCGTTAGCTAAAACTAAAATTCAAAATGCCACGTGGTAGTTACTTATTGGTGGGTTTACGCGTCCAGTGCACCCATGGGTGCACAGAACGCGGACTCGATTATCTGGGACTGTCTCACACCTTGGATGGTGATGCAAAAACAATTATCCAACTCCTGTTGGAGGCTAGCTCTCTCCCTCGTCGGTAGTTGTAGCAAGGTTTTAAAAACCAGACTGGACACAACTGATTTGGGGACTGGTTCCCTGGTCGAACAGTCCAACCATCCAGTTCAAATAAACAGCCCGTTCTGACTTAAAAAAATAAAAAAATAAAATAAAATAACAGCTAAAAATTGTTGCTTGGGTCAACAGGTCAACCACCCAGGTCAGCATATCATTGACCAAATCAACGGTTTTTTTTGGCCAAAAAACAGTTTTAGGGTGAAATGGAAGTGATCAGTTCCCGGGTCAACTAGTCCAACTGTTCAGTTCTATTTGGTTTTCAAAACCATGGTTGCAGGAGTTTCTTGACCCGCCTCCCACACTTTATCAGTTACACTAATAGAGCTTGTAATATGTCAACCCACAAAGTGGGCAGATTTGCAGCATCATGTAATTCTATACATACATGGTCCACACCTCCATAACAAGAGAAAGAAGAGGAGAAAGGGAGAAGAAAAAAAAAGGGAGGAACTCCTCAGGAGGAACTCTCTAAACAGAGAGAAAAAACCTGACTAAAGAACAAATAGATTATCGCTTAAAAACAATGCTTCTTAAAACAAATACATAAAAAACATTTCTTGGTTGAATGTATTTTTTGTATCCAAAAGACAAACTGAAAAAAAATATATATATTTCTTAAATGTGCTTTAAAGAACATGTTTTCATCTGGTGAATTCGTCATTCGTAGATCATATAATTACTAGTCTAGATCATATAATTACTGTAGTCTTCCAATCATGTTCACATCAATAATCCAAAATCCGGTATGTATCCCTACAACAAAATTTCCATACATCAAGCCTTTAGATGTATTATTTTTCAGGGCTCCGTTTGGAAAGAAAATGAATAATGCATTCTAAGCAGATAACGTAATAGGGCAAAATCATTCAAGTATAACAACACTACCAATATTTCAGCTCGCATCATTCTCCTTCACTGGATCAGAGTTAATAATTGGAAGATTCCTTCTGTATTGAGGAGATGTCAACCTTCTCTCTAACGGTGTCTTCCTTTTGCTCACAACAAACCTGTTTACCCCTTTCCTCATTGGCATTATCTCTGGGAAGTCTTCATCGGGGATATTGCTCAGCTCGGAGATGTCCTTGATCTGTTGGACCCGCCTGAACCATCTCTGTTCTTTTGCCTCTTGTGACATGTCAAGTGGATCTGGTTCAGTTACACAAGACCCCTCCAAACTCTTTCCCAAAACTCCCCTGGTCAAACTATCTCTATAATTCGGGGGATCCTCAAGCGGCTGTGCTGGGTTGTCTGTCAAATTCGTGGATCCTTCTGTGCCATTCCTCCAAGATCCACTGTTCCAACTTTCTCTACCACCAGTTTGCGGATTACCAGGTAGTAGTTGTGTTGAGTTTCCTGTGGTTGCAGCCCCACAAACAGTATCTGTCTTCCTCTCACTGAAGCTCTTCTTTGGAAAATCTGCATTCCAATTCCCTCCACTAGTCTGTCGGTTATCAATCCATTTCTCAGATTTAGAGGTTTCCCAATCATGGGGAGAAGCACTGCTATCACTCAACTTCTCAGATGGATTTGAAATATTCCCAGCTGCAGAAGCAACAGTGGACTTTTCACTCACAGTCTTGCCCGCCAAAGCTCCAGTGTGCGTGTCCTTTTTAGCAAAGTAATCAGGTGGAAAAGGGACAAATCGGACAAAGTTAGTATTACTTGATTGTTCCTTAGCCATACCCCTCCTGTATGGGGGGGTTAATGAACTGTCGTTCTTTTTGGGTAAGAATGAACTGTCCTTACTGACCACAAATTGGTTCTCCCCTTTATGCTTCGGCATGATCTCTGGGAAGTTTCTGTCTGACATTGCACTCGGCAAACCTGTAGAACGATGCAGTTCGGAAACCTTCTTAAACCACCTTTCAGATTTTTCTTCTTCTTTATCACCCTTGCTCTCGGTCTGGTTTGTTAGCTTTACAGAAAGCAGCAGATTATCATCTGATTTACTGGACTTGGTGCTTTCAGGAACCAAACCTGTCTGAAAACCATCACCCTCAGGAGTGAGTTCATTACCTAAGTTCCTTCGGTGTTGAGCATTTGCCAACCTACGTTCTAGAGGTGTCTTTCTCGTGCTTACAACAAATCTGTTGACTCCTTTCCGCAAAGGCATGATTTCTGGAAAATCTTCATCAGCTGTGGCAGCACCAAGGTCAGGGGTGTTGTCGAGCTGAGAGACATTACTGAACCATCTTTCTGCCTTCTCATCACCTGTAGCCAGCTTGCTCTCAATATCAGCCTTGTTAAGGTTAGTCCCACCGCCATAGCCCAAACCAGACCTGGGGCCAGTGGTGCCAAATGACATCTCTTCAGGGCGCTTGCAGTCACACCTTAGGCATACTATATTCCGCCCATAATTAAAGAAAGCACATCTGACAGATGGAATAGTCAGTAAGAAGATTGAGCGAGGCAAAACAAAAACTGTGGAAGGGGGAACAATTGAAGTATGAGAGGGACAAAGTCTTAGCTTACTGAGGACACTCCCACTCTCCACCAGTCAGCTGCCTCTTTGGTCTTGCCTCGTTGCATTCTAGGCATTTCATGTTTCTTGCAAAGTTCATGAAACTGCACCTGAAAGATGGAAAATGCAGGTACTACGTATCAGAGAATACATTTAGGCCATAAATGAGTACTGAATGTGAAAAATAAAAATCATCAACTAATGAGCCAAAAGCAACATTAAATAAGAAATGTTGAAATTCTACCTCTGTTGATCTTAAAATGAACTGATGTGCATAAGAAAAAATAAAAATTTCAAAAAAAGTTATTTAGAAAAGATAAAGAAGCACCCTTACTATTTCAAATGCCATTTCTTTCTCCAAATTTGTGATATGGCACTCATGACATAATGAAGGATGTTCTTTGGCAAGCACCAATTGTCATTGAAAAAGACTAAATGAGTGGCTGAGGGTAATACAGGTAAGACAAGTTTGAGAGGACCTATGGTTGAAAACCTAGAATTTGGCCATCCTAAAACCATGGGCTACAACTTTTTCAGCTAGCTGTCTCCAATAGTTATATGAACTCAGCCTGAGTCGGGTKTGCATTGAAACCCTTGAAAACCACTTGATTTTTAAAAAACTAACACCTGGAGAACCACTTAGTTAAAAGAATATTTTTTTATCAGCAACAGGAAATCTTATTAATAAGAGAAAATCAATACAGATTATAGGTAAAGCTGACTACCCCAAACAACTTAACAGAAACAGCAAAAAAACATAAATTTTTCTCTTTTCAGCTTTCAAAGTCGCCCAGAAGGACTGTTCTCTGCTAACCCCTTGCTTTGCTAGTTGATCCACCGGACTGTTGGCTGACATTGGGGTCTAATGGAATAGTAGCTGCATATCCCGTGCAATTCTCCTCAGCTTTTTGACTTCATTTCTGATGTACCAGGGAGTCTTTTCAGTTCGGTTCAACCAGCTCTGGATTACTTTTGAATCTCCTTCCACAATCAACTTTCTTGCCCCTAGTCCCCCAGTTTTTGTAACCCACACAGCACTGCCTTTTAACTCTGCTGTTGTAGGGTTCCCTTCCCCAATAGGCCCTGAAAACAGGCCTGAGATAGCTCCACTTTCATTTCTTATAACTCCGATTCCAGAGGGACCTGGATTTCCAAAGCTACTACCATCAAAGTTGAGTTTCAATAAGCCATTCTCAGGTAGGTCCCAGATTCTATGTACTTTTCTTTTGAAGATGAAGCTGCAATTGTGCCCCACTCCCTTCTTATATTGTCAAAGGTGAAGTCTGAGAACAATTTCAGTGATTTTACCCAATGAATCACCTTCACCATAATACCTTCTATCAACAGTTCTTTAGTTCTCCTCTTCTCTTCAGTGTGGCCACTCATTAGACAAACATCCTAAATCCCCCGCCCACAGATCTAATTCCTCCTGCTCCAAATTGATACCAGCCACCACACTTATTTAAATTAACCTTTAAATTTGTTACTTTCTCAAAAAGACTCGCCAACATCCTAACATTCCTGGCTTCTAGACCCATCTTCATGTTCACAAAAGATGATAATGTCATCTGCAAACTGTAGGTGAGTTACCACTACCCTATATCTTCCCATCTTCCACCCCTTTAACAGTCCCACTTCATCGGATTTTGAGATTAACCTGCTGAAAACTTCTGCTATAGGAGTGAATAAGAAGGGGGATAGAGGATCTCCTTGCCTTAAACCCCTAATGGCTCCAAAAAAAATCCTTCACCACCCCATTCACCAAAACTGAGAAATGGCAGGATTGCAAGCACCCTGTTATCCATTTACACCACTCAGCACCAAAACCACATTTCACCAGAGCTTCAAGTAGGAACTCCCAATCTACAAAATCATAAGTTTCTTCAAATCCAATTTACACACCACACCCTTCTTTCCAGATCTCTTAAAAGCTTCAACACATTCATTGGTAATTAGTATCTGGTCCGAGATTTACCTAACCTGAATGAAAGCCCCTTGGAACTGAGGGATGATTGATGGGAGAACCTTTTTTAACCGCAAAGATAGGACTTTAGCTAAAATCTTGTAGAGACTAGTTACCAAACTGATTGGTCTAAAGTCCTTGGAATGGCAGGCTCCTAATTTCTTAGGGATTAAAGCAATCAATGTAGCATTAAACACCTATCCATAGAAAAGATGGCTTCCTTGACCTCTTCCCTATCAAATCTTCTCTCTAGTTCCCTCTTCAAAGAAAATTCCAAAGTTGGCCATTCCAAACCTTCTAATTTCCATCTTCTTTGTACTTGCTTTCTATAGATAGATTTAAAGTGGTCCACAAATGCCTTTGCAATTTCCTCCTCATGTGTGATTGTTCCATTCTCAGTTTCTAGCAATGAAATGAAGTTCTTTCTACTTCCATTTGCAATCCCCCCCACCCTTTAATCCATTTCATTCTTGATTTTTGCTTCCTGGTCATCTCCTCCCTCAAGAGAGTGATTTCCAGCTCCCTTTTCAGTAATATCCTCTCTTTCCTCTCCCCTTTTGTCAGCTGTCTTATTCTCCTTCCTATCTCTTGACAGTGTAGCCGGCCAGAGATAAGTGGAAGAGGAGAGAAGAGAAAGAGAAGAGAGGAGAGAAGAGAAGAGAGAAGGTTTGCAATGTAACAGTACTGGCGGCGCCAGTGTTTATTTTACTATATATAGGGTGACAGAAATAACAAGGGAAAAGACCCTTGTGCCCCTGAGTACAATAACACATAACAGAAATAAAAAACACTTTAATTAGCCAAACAGGCCCTAACATCTGCAACTAAGTTA